GAACAAAGCTAGACATAAAAATCCTACGTGATCATTTAATCGCTTAAAAGGTAAGCAGAAATGCGACTATCCTGTTGGTGTTTGCACTGTAAATACTTATCCGTTTGCAAAACGCAAATAATGTCACGAAATTTATCCTTGCCACAAATTTACACAACAAATCAAGTACAGACCAATTAGAAGGCTTCATTTTTTACATGTGACGAAGTCAGTTACGTTCGTCTCTGCTCTTAACAATACTTCTCGAAACCTTTATCGCGATAAAAGCGAACCCAAGAGCCCGCAAATTGAAATTATTGTTTGTATTTAGTGGAAGTTGAAACGTTTAACAAGCTGCGAGGGCCTTTGTATTCCTTTGATGGCCGAACGTTTGGTTTGTTACGAGGAATTTATTGACATTTGAAGAGGTGTGAAGCCATAGATGTGCAAGGATAATTTCTCGCTACGTTTTCGAACTTTTTAGCGGTGTTGATGTTCATTTGGTGAAGGAAATTTATCATGCTGGAGATTCTGTACGGCAGTTTGTGTGTTTTGAAAAACGAAAATTCTTATCATTTGATTTTATAAGCGAAATGCCGTGGATCAGGAGCGATAAAAATTTTTTTGTGCCAAGTATAATAATTGGAATTTCCTCGATACGACATGCAGCCGACTCATAAACCGTTCAAAGGGAATCTTGTTCGAACGGTCGACTTATACCGGCGGGCCGGCGGATTTGGTTTCACGCTGTCAAGCCAGGGACCATGTGTACTCAGCTGTATTATAGCTGGAAGCCCTGCTCACAGGGCAGGCCTAAAACCCGGCGACGAGATAATCGAAGTTAATGGGGCTTCAGTGGAAAATGCTCCGCATGAACAAGTTGTCAAACTCATTGCGCGCTCTCCGGATGGGATGGTTCAACTTGGGGTTCGAAACCGTTCAGAATTACTAAGGTTTAGAATGAACGAGACGAAAATCAACACACAAAATCAAGACGAAACAGTGATAAACGAAACGATATTGAATCGAGTTGATAAAGTCGTTGAGGAATTGAAGTCGGGTCAACTGTTCGGGGATTCGCCGTCGCTGAACAGTTCTTTATCCAACGGAAAATTTATAACTGAAGATGACATCGTTACGGATGAAGAACTAAATGCTTCTTTTTGTGAAAGTATTAGATCTGAAAACTCTGTTCCTGGTTCTTCTCCCGCTCAGAGTTATGCGAGTAGCAGGCGATCTAGCGAGGGAGATGTTGCGTCAAATAGTTCATCGTCTCCGATGTTATCTCGACTTCTTTATCCTAAAATGACGCCGTTGAAAGGCTGTGATCAAGCTGATATCGACTTAGAACCGGAACTTCGATCTATTGTAGGTTATTTAGGTTCTATTGAACTGCCCGTAGCGTCAAGTCTTCCAGCCGCAAGTCTGACTGCAATTAGAAATTGTGTTCGACGTCTCCGAGCACAGCAAAAAGTTCATGTCTTCTTTCTCATGGAAGTCTCTCTAATTGGGATAAAGCTTGTGGACAACGAGAAGAGAGCTATCGTTACGTACCCCATTAAGTGCTTGGCATTTACTGGCCTATGCTCTGACGATAAAAGAGTATTTGGTATAGTCACCAGAAAAACTAATGAGCCTTCTGCAGATAAGTTCAATAATGTTCAAAATAATCACAAAATTGACATTCAAAGCACTGTAAATTGTTCTTGTCATGTTTTCTCGGTTAATCCAGAGCTTAATTCTCATCAAGCTCATCAGCATCTCGCAGATAAGTATGGAATACAATGTACTGAGGATGCTGAGGGAGGTTGTGTGGAGTTTCCTGCCTCCTCCAGTCCTATCCTAAAAGCCATCACTGGCATGTTCAAGGAGAGAAGCGGGTCAGAGTCTGGTGGAACAAGCAGTGATGGGGAAAGAAGGGGACGGTCTTTGTCATTATCTTCCAGCCACTCAGAGTCAGATGGAGTTTTCAGACAACCATACAATGATGAGAACTCCACAAGTGAACCTCAGACAGTTGAGTTTGTTGACAGTCACATGGTCAATGGATTGCTGCCAGATTTTGATTCTTATAAAATGCAAGAACAGACTGCACAAAATGACTCAAAACCTCTGAAAAGAGTAGATCAGCGAGGGCTACATGAAGCTGTTACATCATTTAATGAGCCTTTTAAGATTACAGAGAGAAATGATTCAGGTGTTTGTTCGGATTCCTTCCCTGAAGCTATGAATAATGTTTCAACTTCACAGGGTATTAACATGAGCCGACCGGCTCCTCCTGTCGTAAGTGTATCCTCATTTCATTCTCGTGAGAGTTCAGCTGATTCTCAAATGTCCTTGGGGTCTCACCACAGTTCACTGGCTGGTACCCTAACTGAAGTTGGAATAGCTAGCAAATCTCAGCACAGTTCACAAATTGGACCAGTTGGAATGAAGGATCTGTCTCTAAGTAATTCTCAAGAGGTAAGTATATCCTCTATGTCATGCTATTTCACTTTTAATCCTTCAAACTCTCATATGTGACCAAGACAGAATTTCTCTTCACATTATCAGTACAAAATTAAGCAGGAAAGCTATGAGAATAAAGGAAAATATTAATTAGGACATTATTAGTGAATCCAAAACCAAGTTCTTCCAACTAAGAACCTGTTGTAATTGACCATAGCTGTTGTGGTGTCCCTGCCAACGTTCTTTCTGTTGTCTGTCTGTTTGTTTTTTGACAAAATAAAATAAAATAAAAGAATTATGAGGTAGACGGTGAGGAGAAGTACTCATGAGATCTTGGGAGTGTAAGAGTCAATTCCTATCTACTAAGTAGGTGTTTTAGATCAGAGGAACATATCAGCAAGATCTGATATCTCAATTAATTAAAAGAAGAGCAGTAGCAACAACAAAAAATTGTTTTAATTTACTAGAAGATGGGAGTCAAAAGAGTCAATAAATTTATTTGCTCTTACAGGGCTAATGGTGGCCAAATAAGCACAGACTAGTAGAAATTCAGTTTTGGCTTGGGGTGTTTGGTTTCCACTGTTGTAACATCTAAGATGTCACTAGCCACTAGTAAGTTGAAAAGTTAGTGTCGAACCCTGAAGACTCTTAAATTCCTGTTTGGTTTGATTGTATCAAACCAGTTTTGTCTATTTTGCATCTTTGTGGTAATGTGTGATTTCTGATCTTAAAGGTATTTTCCTTTCTCTGATTGCCTAGTGTGATTACTTTGGTTTTGTTTTCATGACACTCAATCAAAATGTGCTCTAACTGGAAGTAGTTAATGCAATTAAAAACAGCATCACATGGTTCCTTTAGGTCCTGGAAACATGGAAAGTCCTGGAATTTTATTTTGACATTTTCCAGGTCTGGAAAGTCCTGCAAAAAGACTGTAAGTTCTGGAAGGTTAAGCAAAGTACCATGGTTTATCAGTTTAAGCAATTGAATTATGAGCCAAAGTCAAAGACTCGGAAAAATGTCACTTGCAATAGTGTTGGAACCTCCTGAACTTTTTCAATAAGCCTGGAAACAAAAATATCACATGGCAGCATGTTATAGTATTTATTTTGACAGATGTAAACAGAGATGAAGGGGTATCTCATAAACTAAAGCGAACTTCAGTAAACTCGTTTATAGGTGATTGAATAATACTGGACAAAAATTTGATGAATGTTGCATGAAACTTAGTCACATTCATTACAGAACACAATTTTTTTTTTTAGGTTTCTTTTTCTTTTTTTCTGTTTTCCTTTTTTTGAGACATTAAAGCAGATAAACATTAGGAGCTGAGGAAATTTATTAAATAATGTTTATTTCCTAGTGAATATCATCTCTTTGGCTTTGTTTGGTCAGTGTTAAACTTTAAATTGCTGATAGAAAAATTTAGTAAGAGAAATTTGGGCAACAAGGAGAGACAGTTTTATACCAATATACTCAAAACTTTCTATGGAAAAGTCTTGTTTTTGACAGTATTCAGCTTCCTCTCTTTTTGGGAGAGTTGCCATGAAAACACATTTTTGATTTGTTTAGATCAAAGCTTACTGACGTAATGTGTGTACTATCACTTCTATACGCATTGTTTTATTTTTTGATTTGTGATTAAGATTTCAAAGAACTTTTTATTTCTTAATTTTTTAAATTGAAATACATGTAATTACTTTAATAATAATTGTTTTTTAAAGGAAATAAGACAGTTCTCAAATGGCGAGAGAAAGCAATGTAATTTATGTTAGTTAGATTCTTTAATCGTGAATATATTCTTAAAGGTAAGCAAAATTCAAGATTAAGAGTTAAAAATAGAAAATAAGTACTAAATAAGGCGGGCACATATAACTTGTGCAATCAATATTTAATTGCTTTTGCGTTGGTGCACAATGTTTATCTTGAGAGGGTTGCAGGCTTTAATGCTGAATAATTTTTATTCAAGACGTCTTGACTGAAGACAACTTTTGGTTTTAAGTCCTCTGTCTTGGAAACTTCATGCATCAAATGTAAAAATTATGTTTCTAAAACATACATCAGATTTCACGCCACCATTACTCATTCATTTGGATATGTTTTGTGTACAAGTTCTTATCTTAATTAGGCTGTGCCAGTGATCTTGAATGCGAGGAATGTAAACTAGTCAAAGACTATTGAGTTCAGTTAATAAATATTGGCTTATAATTCTAAAGAGATAGTTAATATGCCACTGGTACTTCAGTTATGAAATTGAGAATTAATTTTGTTGACAATTTGTGGAAGTGGAAGCCTTCACACACCAGTAACCTTAAGACTGTTTTGGTGATCGTGGTTTTATTTAGTCATCATTTTCCAAGGTAGTAATCACTCTAGCATTTAATTAATCCCTGCAATCATTTCAATTCAAGTTTACATTCCACTGGAAGGCTCTAATGAAGTTTGTAAAATTATTATTAAGATGTCATTTAGGAGTTTGCATATAACTGGGTCTGATTGGTGCAACATTTTCAAAGTATTCATGGATTGAATTTGTGTTTCATGAAGAGATTTTAAATTGCTTAAAGTTGTGGAAGTGGTATTCAAATTGGGTGCTATTTTAGGTCAGTCACATTGTTTTGATTGTTGTGTCATTAACAATAACCTCTTCAAAACCAATATTCAGTTGTCTTGCATATAATAACAGTAGGTGTATGTAGCTTTCTCTGTGATCACAAAATCACTTCTGAATTTAAAGCCACATTGCTGCCATACAGGAGTATGCAATATTTATTGCAATATGTATTGTGTTTAAACATACCTTACTATGTTTTAGATGTGTCAAAGGCACAGATCAGAAAACTGTCGTAGAATTTTGGAGCTGTCATTTTTCTTGAGATGCATGACAAATGTTTGCTGCATTGGCATTTAGGAAAGTGTCATTTGTAAAATTTATCTGGATAAACATGTCAAGGAATTTTTTTTTATTGCAATGTAGTTTCAGTGCACATGTATTAGAGAAGGAGGTTGTGTTTATGTTTGGAGTATATTCATGTTTTTAGCATACAAAATTGACTTTGATGCTTATAGAGGAACCAAATTTGAAGTTTTACTTTGTAAACATCTACCAGACCATTGCAAATCTAGTAATTGCAGTAAACTTGAATTTTGAGCAGTCTTTAAGTCCATTGATGAAGTGGAAAGATGTACATTAGATGATGTCCTGACATTAATTCAAGTTTAATTACAAGAAACTAGCCATTATATAGTGCACTTTGAAGTTGTTTGGGTTCAAGTTTTTGTCATGTTACATGTAAATTTTTATTTACATAGCCTGAGAGATTTAATGCTTGCCGTTAGTGAATATTAGTTGTAGAACTACCTGATGAAAAAGTTGGAAAGCACTTACGGTAATAGTTAAATAGAGATTTGCAAGCTATGTAGATAAGAATAAGGTTATGACAAGTTCCACCTCTCTAGCAACCCCCCATCCTATAACCCCCCTGCCCCATAACCCCCCCCCATTTTCTCCTTCTACAGTTTGCTTTCATGTTTGAAAGCATCATGTTTGCACTTGACTCCACTTGGTTTTGTCATTGTTTTTAACTGGACCTATTTATGTTCCTTATTTTTGCAGTCTTTGGCACATTCAGATATAGGTAAGCTACAGTGTTTGTTGGTGTTTGCTTGTGGTTATTCTCCATGATTATTTTTTTTCATTTTTTTTTGCTCTAAATGAGAGTAACTGCTACTCATCCAGCAAATGAAGGTTCAATTATTTCTAGATTGATCCACTTTTTTAGTAAGAAGGGGGATAATTTAATCTTAATTAATTAAGTGCTGATTGAATCAATTTTGTTGGCAAAATTCTAACAACAAATCTTATATAAAAGCAAATATACAGTACATGATGAAATGTGTTTGAGTAAAACTGAAACAATTTCATTTGAGAAGATTTTGAATTTTGTCATTATTTAAGTGACACAATCGAGACAACCATTGAAAACTCAAATGATGTTTTGAGAAATCATGCTTGAGAGTCTGAGTGATTAGACATCAGGATTGTTGCAAAATTCGCAGGATGAAAACCAGCAATCACCAGCTGGATTTTTGGTCCGGGATCACTTGTTTAAACAAAATGGACACTTCTGAGGTTATGCACTTACAGTAGTTTATTATGGAATGCTATCTTTGAGCCTTGTCGGTATGTGACGTTAATAACTGCTCCCTTGATTAATGCAGTTGTAGGAACATCCTCAAGCAGGAAGACGTTAAATGCTAGTGCAAGTATTAGCTCAAGCACTCTAAGTATCCACAGTCTGAGTAGCATGCCAGGTGATATGTCTCAGGTGGATGGTAGAGTTGGTCGATGGGCTCTTGGGTTTGACAAGCTTATGGAAGATCCTGCTGGATTGGGCTGCTTCAAGGTACGCAGAGACACAAGTACTTCTAATTAATATAGTATTTCCACAAGTTCTTTATAAGTTAATAAATAAGGAGGTTGTGTTTATTTTTAGCCAGAACAGCTTCAATGAGGTGCCTTTTTATTCACTGCTTCCTAGTTGGGTTTAAATTTACATGTAGAGTGTTGGTTTCTTGGAGGGTGAAAAACTGAAAAAGCTTCATAGAAATCCTGGAAGCAAGTTCAAAAACAAGCAGTTAAGTTGACCCTCCTGTGTATTTGGGTCTGGGAATCACACCCTGGAAGGAAACAACCATGGAATGGAAGAGCCATCACTACTCTCTCGACTGTTACCGTCCTTTCATTTCTCTTCATATCTCTCGGTTATATTCCCACCATCACATCTAAACATTTTTTATCTAAAACTTTCAAAATGTCTTTGCAGGAATTCTTGAAGAAAGAATTTAGTGATGAAAACATTGTTTTCTGGATTGCCTGTGAAAACTTCAGGAGTATCACAGATTTTGAAGAGGTATGTGAGAAAGTAACTCTGAGAAAATTGATAACAAAAAGGGACACAATTACTGTTGTTGAGATTTTTCATTTGAAAGACTGCAGCTATAGTTATACAAATTTTATTTTCTTCTCTTTACTTATTTCTCTGTCCCTCTTCAACCTTTTTTAAAATTTTTCTCAAACAAAGCAAGTCTTTGTGATGAAGAAGGTGCAATATTTCTTTCAGGAGGTGGAGGAGGGAGTGGAATTGGGCAATAGAGGGTTGTAATTTGCTTCTCTGCAATTAATGCATTATGATTGTCTTGTGTGTACTTGCCAAGGTTTTGTAAACCAGTGGAATAGCTGTGTGATGTCTATAAATTTGACTTGGATTTGTCTTTTCCCATACTGCTAGATTAGCTCTGTTTGATGGCATACATCAGAAGGCATAGTACTTTTTTTGGCTTGCTTTTTTTTTTGTATGTGCAGGCATAGAAACTTTTTGTGTATTTGGGGGTTTTGAAAATTCTCTCCAATTGGTTTATGCAACTTGTGATTGCTTAAGTCATGTATGTGATTAACCTGGGAAGGGAGAGAGGTATGTTTTTATTAACCAGTATTGTTCACAAAATGTAAACTAATATGTACCTAGGATTGTAAGTGACTTGTGAAGAACCAAGTCAAGATTTTTATTGTAACTTTTGTGTTTTCCTGTATTAGCTGAAAATGGAAGCAGAGAGTATCTTCCACAATCATCTCACTGCAAATGCTCCCCTGCCAGTCAATATTGATAGTAATGCTGTCAGAGATGCTGAAGAGCAACTGCAGAATCCAAACAATGATATGTTTCGCCTTCAACAGCAGCAGGTTAGAGGAGACCTCTTATCTTGTAGGTTAAATTGATATGAACAGCTGTTTAAAACATTTGGTGATGGCAGCACACAAAACTGACCAGCACAGCTGCTATGGATTGAAGTGAACAGGAATATTGCCATTAATCTAGAATGAGATTGTAGTCCTTTGCAAGTTCCCCCTACACTTTGTTTCTCCTGAAGACAAACAGATTAGCTAAGCCAAGCTTAGTCCTCATTCATCCATGCGCATAAGGAGAATGTCATTGATTTCTTTTGGATGCAAGTTGGTCATGCTGTTCCCCTTTCCAGCCTCTGCATTTTGTTTCCCTTTCCAAGAAAAGCAAGCACCCTTTCATACTTGGGTGGAGAGAGGCAGTGTGAGAAGGAAGTGGTCTACCCAAGAACACATCACTATTAGCTCAGTCATCTGTAGTGCTGGTAGTAGAAGTTTGGTCCCATTATAATGTAGATTTGCAACTGTGTAATGTTTAACGACACATGTACCTTGATTATTCAGACCTTGATTATCTGGATTTCTTGATTATCCGGACTTTTTCTCTGGTCTCAATTTTGTCATGAATATTTAATTGTCATGATCAAGATCTGTAGCCATATTCTTTTTAAAATTACAGCATTGCAAAGTGAAGTAAAGGCAATGTTCTTCTTTAAAACAAAATGACCTACTTAGCATTTTAGGCCAATATAAAAACATCTTTTCATTCATTTTAATTGTTAACACATAGGTGGATATCTAGGTATTCACAACGGACAGTGAAGGTGTAGACCACATTTTTTTCAAATTGATTTTTAAATGTTTTGTTTCATGATTGAATTTCCCTTTCTTAATCAAATCAGTTTTTGTTCCTCATCAACATTGATATTCTCGATTATCTGCACTGTCGATTACTCGGACTATTTTGTTAAGTCCCCATGAGTTGAATCGAGGTTCAACTGTATAGCAATTTTTCACAACTAACAGTACATACATTGTGTGGATCAAGCCTTGTATTTATGTTCAATTTAAATCATCATTAGGTGATAGAAGTGCTTGATGTTTGTGTATTCCTTGATGGCTTATTAATTGAGCTAACCGAGCTAACCGCCTCCCGGTTAGCTCAATTGGTTAGAGCGCTGGACTGTTGTGTGGGAGGTTGAGGTCAATGGTTCGAGCCCTGGCCGGACCAACACTCAAGGTCTTAAAATAACTGAGGAGAATGTGCTACCTTTCTTTAATATCAAGAAATGGATAGACATTCTAGTCTTCTCGGATAAGGACGAATAAACCGTAGGTCCAGTCTCCTGCATCCATTAATTAGTTAATTTGGTTAGGCAGGGGACGTTAAAGAACCCACTCAGGAGATTACTGTGATGTGGTTTGGCCTGTTTACTGGGAATTGGGGGGGG